CATGCATCGTGACCCCAACGCATTAGTCAACGGGACGAGACCAGTTCGCACGTGAATCACGAATATAACTACAGTAACATTGGCAGTACGAACACTTGAGGTGTCGGAGCGCCCAAAGTATGCAAAGTACGTCAAGTGAGTAGTACTTTGTCGTTTGTGTGCCAGTGCACCGCGAGCAGAATAAGTAACCAGCATTGGTTTGATCGTCGGTATTTGCCGCCATTTCCTATTACCGCTACCGCACTTTGCCGCATCGCAGGCCACACACACATCGCCCGGAAACGGAAAAAAAAAAGAAAGAAAGAAACGACACACCAGCTGCAGATCTGCGGCTTTGCCCATCCAGAATCGCAGACGAATCCGTACTGATTAGCCAATGATAAGTCAATAAACTTAGCCAGGGGTGACACATGACACATCCGCGACAGAAGAAGCGGTATTGTTTGAATCGATATGACGGTGACGGCGACACGCAGGCTCCCATATTTGAATGTACGCGGGCTGGGCCATCCCGGCGAGGCGGCATTAGCTCGTCGTTATCTGAAGACGCCCATTTGAAGTGTTATTTTTTTTTCACAGGCAGTGAGAACTTGTCACGTAGCGACGGCAGTTTTTTTTTTCCTTTTTTAATTTCAATCCAGTCTCGGGGGGCGAAGTCCGTCACTAGAGGACTCTCAATCAAGACGACAGAGCACTCGGTACTGCCGTGATACGTCTCAAACAACAGGCGCGCCGTCATCACAATCGCAGATACTTCCCTATACAGTCGTACAGTCATATTTGCGCCAAAAAAGTAGGGTTGTGGCCCCAAGCCCCGCTTGCCGAATACTCTTTGCAGAGGGCACGGCGTAATTTGGCGCAAAATGAAAGACGGGTAGCCGTTGCGCAATCAGGCAAGGCATGCTGATTGCTCCGAAAGTTGCAATCCGTCTCAGCTCAACAGCACGCCACCACACCACAATCGCCCCGCCGTGCCCCCGCGCTGACCCCAGAGAGGACCCGTCTTGACCCCACTACACGACCCTCCC